CTGAGCCTACGTGGTTGTTTCTAGTGTCTCGGAATCCTACTAGGCAAAGAATCATGCTTCGTAGTTAGGTTTGGACAAATAATATTATATATTAATAATTAATAATCTAGGTTCGGACATTCCATAAATATTATTTAGCTAACTTAGGTAGTTTAATATAATTGTACTAATATAACTCTTTAATTCTTTGTAATTTTAGACAGTGAGTCACTAAGTGTCTATATATCCCCGACTTTTGATTTGTTTCTTACAATTAGCTATTGAATTGTAAATGTATTTTAAAGGTTGATAACTTTTGTATTTCTTATCGGTTTTACATATATAATATATTAAATTAATCATCTTTTGATGATCTTTGATTTGACATCCATATTGTATATATGAAATAAATAAATTATATTAATCATCTTATGATGATCTTTGATTTGACATCTATATTGTATATATGAAATAAATAAATTATATTTATCTTTATAATAATAAAAATAATAATATTTACTAAAATTCATTAAAAAAATAAAATTATTTCTCAACTGATACATTTGTTTTTAATGTAGTTATTTTTAAAAGGTATTTAAATTTTCAACTACCTTTTCTCAGTAATTTTAAATTTTAAGAAAAAAATTAGCAATCATCTGTGTAATATGTACTAGTATATATATATAAATAAATATATTCCCCTGCCCACTAGTTTGTTTTATATGAAAAACGTATTCTGAGAATACGTTTTTCAATTAAATTTAATTGAAAAACGTATTCTCACTGCCCATCGTGGGCAGGTGAGCAGGCATATATAAATCTATATATATATATATAGATTTTATATTATGACGGATCCGCCTGAATAGTGATTATACCGAGAGACAATATTCTTGATATAATATGCTAAACAAAAATAATTTCACGAAAAAAATGTAATTTTAGAATAATATTATACAATATATTGTCAAATATTATAGTTTCACTTGATTTTGTGCGGGACAATCAAATAAATTTAACAAATATATATGTTCACACTTAATAATATAAATTACAATATAAACACAATTGTAACATAATATAATATATGTATGCATTTTTCTGATGATTAACGGTTAAAACAACACCAGTTTAATAGTTTTATTTGTATTTCGAAAAAAAAAAGATACATCTTACAAAATTATGATTTTTTATTAAAAGAATGTTTGAGGTCATAATTAAAATTTTGAAAAATCAAAGTGAAGCCAAAATCACGTTCCCATCAACTTTACTCGAAAATTTAAAACTCATTGCTAAATAAATAAAAAGAAGAAGGAGATGTTACAGACTTACTGTCTTGTTACATGGTTTATAACCATTAAATTAACTATTTCCAATTGTTATATGATAATTTAATAATTATAAATTTCGACAAAATAATTGCCTTATTATCTAAAAAAAAATGATGAGAGAATAACTATTAGGATTTGGGATAACGTGAAGGCATTGAATATACACAACTTGACTGCCCATTCTTTCCAAATTCAATCTCACGCTTCTTTTTTATTATTATATATATTTTTTTTTTAAAAATTTGATTTTTCATTGCTTTATTGTAAAGTCGCAAGACAACAAACTGAAAAAAAAATAAAAGAAAATTAAAAGAAGGCCCAACTTGCATGCATTTTAAATATTTTTTTAATGCTTAAAAGTGCAAACAACTTGTGCAACTTGCTACAAAACGTACCAGAAATAAATTAGTTTTTTCTTTTCTTTTTCTTTTTAACAGCTAGTTGGTCTTACGTCCAGAAAGGCCAACTTGCAGCTGCAGGCCTAGTTGTTTTGATTCTTCACCTTTATTATTAAATTAATTAATGCCTATTAAACACTTATTAATAAAATATATTTATAAATTTTAATTATTTTTTTCATCATTTATATTAGAGAATATTACTTCTAATTTTGAAACCACGTGTAGCCAGCGGCGGATCCAGAAATGTTTATGAGCCAGGACAAAAAATAGTTCAAAATTTGTAATAATATTGCACAAAATACTTACATTAACTGTTAGAATATATTTTGTATATATGGTTATAATATATTTTGTATATATATTGTAGGATTAGATTTAGGCTCATTATGTTCCTATATATATGTGTACATGTCTTTTGAATAATATAGAACATATATTTTTCCCACTTTCTTACATGGTATCAGAGTCCACTTTGTGCCTGGGTTAGATACATGATATCAGAGCCCGACCAACTTTGTGTCTGGGTTAGAGACATGATATCAGAGCCACTTTGTGCCTGGGTTAGAGACATGATATCAGACTCACAAGTGAGGGGGCGTGTTAGAATATCACTTGTGAGTTGTCCCACATTGTTAATACATGGAAAATAGACCCACCTTATAAGTTTAATGGGCTACTCCTCCTTTCACCAATTGGTTTTGGGATGGAACCTCATTTGGGCTTCATATGGGCTTTTCTTTTCCCCCAGTTTCTTACCTGGTATCAGAGCCCACTTTCTTACATATATTTTCCATGCACTTGTGAACGATGTGGGACAACTCACAAGTGCATGTCTTCATATGTACACCTTATATATGTGTACATGTCTTTTGAATAATATACACCTTATATATGTGTACATGTTTTTGAATAATATAGAACATATATTTTTCCCACTTTCTTACATTAACAATTAAATAAATTGTTGGAACAATTTGGTGTTGAAGGGTTCTCTATTCAATTTGTCTTTGAATGATTATTTTATTTTGCATTTTTATTAAGATTAAGAAATATACTACAAATATTTTACAATCATTTTTCTTTCATGTTTTTGTAATAAGAAATAAACAAGTCATTTTGAAATATATTTTAATAACTTAAAAAAAAAAAACTTAAATGTCATTATTTTTGTTCATGTTATTTTATAGAGATTTCCTTATAGATTATCTTTTTATATATAAATGTAGAGTTTTTATTGTCAATTTCCAACGCTTTGTAATTCTATATGTTAATTTGAAAGGATACGAAATTGTCCATATAAATATAGATCTCTATCCAGAACTTTCAAGTTTAAACGTTTGGATAACATAAATTGTAAATATATTTTAAAAGTTAATGTTAATATTATTTGTATATGTTATCATTTTTTATATATAATAACTTAAATTTTGACAATGTATAATTTGACATTCATATTGTATATGTAAATTAAAATAATTATATCTAACTAATCTCGATCAATAAAAATTTAAATATTTATCAATTATAATTGAAAAACAATAAATTTATCTATCAAACTTATTATATGGTATACGTACTAAAAATGATCTAATATAATATCGTCAAATCTAACTGGTGAGGTGTATCATTTTAAATAAAAATTATAATGTTATTTTGTAAGAATTATTGAAAATTTTAAAATAAAATCTTGTATTATACTTTTACATATATTAAATATAAAATTTCTATTAACTCATATTAACTATGTGTAGTTGGCACAAAAAAATTGAGCATTAATTGTACGGATTAATTGATAAAATAATTATTGTTTTATTATGTGCCTTTTCTGGAGTTTCTAAGAGGTGAAAGCAAGCTATGAGGATGGATAATAAACATGATAAATATTTTTTTCCAATCTTTTGTTCTTTAATTGATTTGTTGACATTCATATTATCAAAATGAAATGTTTTGTAAGTTTAATCAAAAGTTTAATCAAGTATTCAAATGCTTTATTATTTATATTTTATTCACTTTTTATTGATATTTTTTTTGTTAAATCAATATTCTTTGTTTTATTGTCTCACCTAATTTTTGTGTTCAATATGGCTCACTCAACAAACCCTAATCTATAGCCCCAAATTCCTCACTACAACTAGTCATTGAAAACAACCCTTAAACCTTATATTCATATACGAGGTCTCCTGTTGCCAAACTGTATTTAATAAATCATTCCTAGGCCTATAAAAAATATACCAGAAAATTATACATTCCCCAATTTAATTTGATGAAATCTTAGCCATAAATCATTATATATTTCTAAATTTTAGATAAGCAAGTATTTTTTGTTGATTATTGTGTTAATGATAATAATATTCTAAAATTTCTCTAATAATATTGTGTTCAATTCACATACAAGAATTTGTGATTATAATAATATTACAAATGGGGGTGTCTATATGTACACCCCCTTGTGTGTAAAAAAGGGGTGTACATATAGCATTGCCCTTTGTGTAATTTATTAAAAAGGGGTGTACATATAGCATTGCCCTTACAAATTTCTATAGACTAAGTATGGCCTGAAATTGCATCACATGCAAAATTTTGTGATGATAATAATATTATTTCGTAATTCTAACCTATATGCTAAGAGCACCTACAATGTTTTAAGTCTCTTATAAAAATATCATATGCCATGTATGAAATAGATTTAATTTATTAAAAAATGTTTTGCAATGCAATTAAAAGTAAACTAAATCTAACTTAATATCGAAAATATTTTAGAGCATTTTTATTGGTTGATAAATATTATAGACCTAATATTTTGTTTTTGCATTGAATGACTTATATATTTTTTTTTTACTTGAGTTTGTCAATATTATTCAAGACTTAAATCTATTTATATACCACATATGTAAAATTGAACTCAATGCATCGTGGAATCTCTAACATCCAATGTCGGCAGCTTTTATGGAAAAAAATAATAATAATAAAAAAGAAAAAAAAAACAATTATAATGCCTATGAAATATCATGATTCATGAATAACATCAAAGACTAAATTGCATAAACTGGAAAAAAAAAAGGAGATATAATAACTTGAACATGAGCACAAGCAACATTATATATTCCTTTAACCA